CCGTTAGAATTCTCCAGCTGGAGGCAGGCTTCGGAGCTGAGCTTTAAAATCCTTGAACAAGGAGTAGAAACTAAGGGAAATTTCACCCAGATGACAAATAAAGAAAAAAGACAGTATTTAAAAATCAGTGCCAGGTTCCAGTCTCCGTATTCTCTCTCTTTTCTGTTAGGAGAAGCCTGGAGTTTCAAATCGTTCTAGTGAAAGTGGAAATCAAATGTCCATTTTCTATCACCAAAACTTACATCTTTGTATTCCTTATTAACGCACTTTCTTATCTTAATTTTCGTCCTGCTTTTTTCTCCTGATCTTGTCCTACCTTGGAAAAGTTGCAATGTCCGTTTGTCATTTGCCAGTGTGGTTGTACCAGGCTACGCTAATGTGCATAACCTCAGATGAGACAGAACGAAAAGACGTGCACTGGTGTGTGTCCCGCTTGACAGATGGTGATAAGTCACACCTGTGTGATCATCATCCTGTGGTACACTGAGACATCCTGAGACGCTGATCTCAGGAGATGGACCTGCCTTTCACTTTCGTTTTTCTGCTGGCATTAGCTTTGTTGATGTAGTGATTCCCAGTGAAGATAAGCCATAGAAAAATAAATTCTTTTGTTAATTAACAAGTAAATGCTTATTTGGAATCAAACTTAGGCAAACCCTGAAGAGATGCACTTGAAATGAAGAGATGTGAGAGAAGGAGAAATAAATGAGATCAGAAGAGGGTTACTGTAGGGTTTAGCTCGTGCGCTTTTTTGCAAAAGTGAAGTGAATTATGTCTTGAAGTGAATCTGGACTCGAGTTCAGCGCTAAGCTGAGAGTTATCTTCGTTGTTCAAGCAGGAATATCATAGATGCGATTCAGTTGCATAACAATGTTTCATTATCTAGTACTGTGTAGAACTTTGCAGGTGGGGTGAAAGCTACTAAAGTTTAGCAGAAAAGTTCTGAAAGAGCTTTCATTTCAGGTGTGAAGTTGTTGTGTGCATCTTCACCTTATATCTGCCTATCCTAGCAGAGTTAATGCAAGAAAAAACCTCTAGTTAAGTAGTAATTGGTCATCTGACACCATTATCCCACCTCTTAACTCCAAGTTGTGGTGCACCTGGTGGGTGCTGGGTACCGTGTGTAATTATTCACTTCAATGTCATGGGATGCTCACAGAATCCAAAGCTAGTTTGTGAATGAATTCTAAAAATGAATTAAATTTTTCTTTCTGTGTTTGACTTCCGAATAAGCATTAAATCTGTAGAAGAGCCCAACTAAGCTATTTGAAGAAATGGCAGTTAACTTGAAGCGTCAGCTGAGGCTTCTGTGGCACACAGGGAACAGTTCTCTCTGGCATTCCCAGTTTCTCCTCAGACACTGGCATGTTTTGGAGCACTTCGAAGTGGCTGGCAGCAAACTGTGTAATTGCTTCTCGCTCAATACCACGTTATTTGTAAGCAGCACTAGTTCAGGCAACTGTTCTCAAAACGCATCGTCTGGGATTTACTGCAATTCTGCAGTTCAAATACTTTGTCTTTAGGGTTTTTATAAACATCCTACGCTGCAGAATTCCTTGCTGTGGTGTGGGAAGGCCTGTCCTGAAGATTATTCAGAGATGATATTATGAATAGGAAAAAAAATACGGCTAAATAGAAGTTACAGTGTAGAAAACATGTATTTTCTACATTTAATATTAGTATAGAATACAACACTAGCATAGTTCAAATTTTTTAATACTGACATAAAGTAATTCAATTTTAAGGGCTTACTGAATAATCAGGAATAGTAATAAGGAAAGTGTAAGGAGTTTCCTGTTACTTGACCAACTTCATTCCATGGATGACTTTAAGAAAAAATGTGTGAATGATGAAAAAAATTACACTGGATAGGGAAATGAGCATTTTTGTAAGTTCCTAGCACCCTAAACTTGATCTAAACCTACCGACAGCTTTACATCTCTGATAAGATCTAGTAAAATTATTTCCCTAATTCGATCAGTGAAACAGTTGCATTCTGCCCACGAAGCAAGCTCATTTTTATGGTGTTAGTGATCATTTATGGTCTTATTTTCTGAATGTGCTCGGTTGCTATGCTATTCTCAACATACATTTTGAATTGCTGCTAAATAATTTGAAATACTCTGTTTTTGTAGCCCGACTGGATCCCATGTGGAATGGTGTAAACAGCTGATAGCTGCAACCATTTCTAGTCAGATTTCAGGATCTGTCCCATCAGAAGGTGTGTCCAGGGACTACAGGGTAAGTGACTTGAGGAATGCATTGATTTGTTGAAGATAAAAGAGTAATAATAATCAGGAAAGTCCTTGCTACCTTGATTATCAGGTGGTAAGTACTTAAGTGATCACTGAATGTTTCAGAACTGGGAACGTCTCATTACCCGTAGGAGTCTTTTGAATCTACTTTGTGTTTTCCTCCATACTTAGAATAGTGGCATTGAAATCTACAGAACAAGAGAGAGAGGTGAAAGGAAAATGAAAAGTCAATGTTTTGAATAAAATGCCAAAAGTGGGTGTCTTTTCTTTTGATTACTCCATTAAAAATTTAAAAAGTAGATTAATAGTTAGGGATTGAAATTGTTTCTAGTGTGCGTCATTTGGAGTACAGAATTGAGCTCTCCAGATTTCACAAAAAATGAATGCACGTCTCTGTTACCATGCAAAGAATGTAAATGACTATCTTTTTTTCATGAGATTTCGCCAAAGACAGAGAATTTAACATCAAATAAAAAAAAAAAAACATTTTTGATTCCCTCCCAGCAAGATTTTTGCCACTAAGGTAGTGATTGCACAGTGTGGTTTACCTGATAGGTTCCATTACGCTTTTTTAGCCGTGTTCTTTCATGCTCGTTTGCCGTTTCCCATGTGTGACCAGCCAACTGACGTGTCAAGAGTGGAGCATACGCAGATTTCCTTCTCTTACAAGTTGACAAAAGTCACCTGTGTTTCACGTCCCTTTAAGAAACCCAGACTGCTGCTATCTAGGTCCGTTCCTTCCTAGGTTTGAAACCATTTCATGGTCTTCATGCAAAATGTCCAAATGAAGATTTTATCTTTTTTGGTTTTAACTAGATTTTAAATTATTTTCTAATATATGCTCTATAAATTTGTTGTCCAGAAACAGCATATTTTAGATTCTGTGACAGCAGCTCAGATCTTCAGCCCAAGCCTGAAGATGAAACCACAAAATGTTTTTGATTATAGTCTACTTAAAAATTCACCTCACAGAGTTTCACACTAACGACACAGTCAGCAGCTTGTACTCATAAAACAGTGTAGCTCTTCCATGCTGTGGCAGCTGAATTGCAAATGCTTACTTAGGTCAAGGCTAACATCTTTGATAAAACATTGTGGGAGACCTCGCGTTACAGCTGTCGAAGTTGTGTTTGCCCTGTAGATCAAGGACTTCATTTTAGTAAATCCAAGTGTGTCAGCTTGGTGTTCAGTTTATCTCTGAGTTAGAACAGGTTCCTCTGGAATAGAGAGTGCTTTTTAATTCTAAACAACCTCCTTCTCTATACCAAACTCGTCTTGGATATTATTTAACAGGAATAAGTCTTTTAAGGCCTAATTAAAATTCCACTTCATTCTCTGTTTCTTAGAAATGAAAGAAAAAAATTTAAGCCTGTGGTATTCAGATTTTTTTTTGTATAAATTGTATTTGGAATCATTGCACTGCTGTGATTTGAAATGCCATATTTGTGTATAACATCATGGAATTTTTTATCCTAGCATATCTTTAGTTACATCCAGGACCAGTAGCTTGTGAAGTGATGTCTGTGCTTTAAGAGAGGATTTCCTTTGCACTTAGCTTCTGCAGAAGTTTAGTGCTGTGATGAATTAGTTGCTTAGTTGGTACCACTAACAGGCTGGGTTTATTCATTATTAGTATGGAATTCACATGGAAAAAGATAATGCCCATTTATGTCTCAGTTTTCCTTTGAGACATCTTTCTCTTTTGATGCACACCGATCCATTTTCTGGGTCTTCATTACCTTTGGTTACATTGAGTTGCTGCATTTAGAGACTGTCTTACAACAACTCAGAAACTTCAGGTAGGGCCAGGTGTGTGTGTTTGCCTCTGGAACTGGTCAGACTGTTGCTTTCTGCTGGGTTTACCAGGAACTCACTGCTTTATTCTTTCTTTCATCCTTTTTTTTTTAATGTTTCAATCAATATGTTTGCAAAAACAAGTAAATATATCAATTCTCATATCTAATGGTGTCACTCATGTTACTCTGTGTAACTTTCCGTACTAGAATGTAATTTAGGGGAGGGGGGAATCAAAGGGAAGCAAAGGGGCTGCAAATGAAATGGTCAGAATTGGAGAGCGCTGAGCGAGCTCTTGCTTGCTAAGCCCTACAGCAACATGATCTCACTCTGAGTTTGAACTCTGCTGTGTGTGTCTTCTCTGACATACTCTCTACCTGAACAGTGTTCCTGAATGAGGGGTTCATGTAAATGGAAACTGCTTAGATTATAGTAGCTAAAGATGTGCACCTCAGAAATAAGTTGGGAAGAGTAGTTGCTGTCCTTGTTTTGCCATTTGAATCTAAAAGATGTGGTGGTTATGCTTCATGGCTGTTATTGCAGGCTTATTGTCTTCCACCTAGGAGGATTACCAGGCTCTTTCTTCTCTTTTCACAATAGCACATTGTAGCTGGATAAAAGAGTGATTAGGAATGAATGTTTCAAAAGAGCTTGGCATTTGTTACATCACTAAAATGAAGTGGCTAGATTGTTTTTAGACCAAAACAATTCTGCAAATGAGAGCTACTAGATGTGCATAGTTTTGTTTTGTTCTTTCAAAACCTGACTGTAATTAAAATGTTTGGAAGTAGAGCTCTTCTGAAAATCTGAAGAAGTAAGATATAGTATCTTTGACAGATCAAATCTCTGTTTTGTTGGATAACATTTTATATTTTAACTAACAGGTATACAGGAGGCCTGTTGTACGGGTAAGATTACCTTTGGCTAGCAGTAAAACAGCCTCCTGCCTGTTTGTCTTTTGTGCCGTGTGAGATCTTGGTGTGTCAAGCGTTCTTCTTTACTTCATTAATGTTTTTTACGAACCAGTCAGACCATTTTGCTATGCAGTGCAACAGCTTCTTTGCCATAGAAATGCTTTGTATACATTACAATGTTTTGGTGAGCAATAAAAGTCGTCGTGTGAGACAACAGTATTTTTAAATTGTTATGAATGTGCAGTACTAACTTCGGTTTTATTACATTAATTTTGACAAAATGGATGCTTGCAACTGAGGCTTACATGCTTCGAACTGCAGAGTCCTGTATTGGCAGCTCTAATGTGTTACCTGTGCTAAAGAATGTTAGTGGTACAAGCGTTACGTCCCTGTCCATCCCATGTGAATAAGGTACCAGTTCACGCTTGCCTTTGTACGTGTTTTACCTTAATTGTTCCCACCCTGCAGTAGGATTGGAAGTTAGGTTTGAAGTCAGACGCTGGTGCAATGACCTGCATCTTTTTAATGATAATTTTGAGACTGGATCTTGCCCATTGTTCATTGGAGATATAAAAAGGGCATGCCTTGTTTACTTGTCCCTCTCTCTTAGTAACATTTATGGAGTGGGAAATGATCTGGATAGTGTTCTGACATTGTTCATGAAATCTGTCTAACAGTTTCATTCAAACAAAGACCTCTTGTTCAGTCTCAAACCAAGAGATGAAGTCTGAATGATTTCTTTTTCTCATCCGTTGTTGACATATTTGAAAATGATGTGTTTAGTCCACTCATACAAATCCACAAATTGATTATTTTATTTTTTTTTTAAATAGATAGCTCTTGGAATAATTGGTCTGGGTTGAATAACAAAAATTGATTATTATCGGTCAGTTTTTCATAGCTTTTTTTAAAGGCTTTGATCTTTGAATGATCTGCTGTGCTTCTCTCTCTCTTTTGTTTGTTTAGAATCTTTTGGTGTATTTGCTGGTTGTCCTTCTGGTTTCTTCCAGAGATTGCAATATATAGTTTGCTTTAATTTCAGAAACAACGTTTTTATAGTCTGAAATTTAAGTAATTTCTATTTAACAGAATTCCACCAATACATAAATGTTAGGAATTCTTTTATAATTTGAAAAGTTTTTTTCATTAATTATAGCTTTTTAAACTCTGAGTTCAAATTATCTGAAGATTTCTGAAGTCCTTCTTCTAAGTTTTCCTTTTTTGAAGGTTTTGTAGGAATACTATAAAAAGAAAAATTGACTGTATCAAACATTTGTAGATTTAGACTGAGGCTGGTGTTACAGTCTGTCACGTGAGAAGTTCCTTGCCTGTGAACTGGGAACAATAGACTGTCATGAACACAACTTGTCTCCAGGTAATAAAGAAAGAAGGTGGAAGAACAGTTTGGCTGAATGTATTAAAACAATTACTTTGTACAACCCTATGACATTTGTGCTTCTCTCTGGAGTGCATAGGGACCTTATGTTTATTAGAGAGATTTAATTAATATGCAGAATTTGCTGCCAATATGATGCAAATTAACATAAAATATGGATTGTTTGCATATTTTGCTATGAGGAGTAATTTCAGGTTCTGTAAAGTTACTGACTAGGTTTCCAGCAACAACACAGAAGTTGCTGGAAAAATACGTGAAACCATAAAACTGAATGTTCAATTAAAACGTTTTCCACAGTAAAGCACTTTTTAAATTGTCTAGATACTTCTATTTGATGTCAACCTATTTTTTCCTTGAAAGATTGCATGAGTTTTCCCCTAACGCTACCATTGCAAGCTGTACTCAATTTCTTCTATTGATAAGCATGTGGCATACTTTGAATTCATTTTCTTCACTGTGAGGTTATTTGTCTTAAAAAGACAGTACGTACTTTTATGTTCTTATCTACCAGCACTGACTCTTTTGTGAAAAAGGGATTAAATTTTTCATTTTGTGTTGTGCCAAATAACATTAAAAGGATAGTGCTAATAGCTTGGATTTCTTTCTGTGGAAAATAGTTTGTGCCAGGAGTGAAAAAATTTGAACAGCTAAACTGGAGTTAAAATGTATGCTGTCTTTTTAAGGAAAGAAAAAAAAAAAAGGGAAACAAGAAAGAAAAGATTCTGTCCTTTCACCTGTTGTCTGCATGTTTTTTCCCATTGCTTCTCTCTTGCCCTACTGCTGCCTCATGCAATGCAGGAGATGCAGGATGGACACAATGGCTATCATTCTGAAGCAGAACCTGATCAGGTGGCAAGTTTTACTCATCTTTCATTCCTTAACTGTGTAGCAAGGTACTGTATGTTAGTACTTGTACAGTACCTACAAATCTTGTGTTTCTCATGCAAGAGAATCTGTAGAAAGCACTTAGTGTGTTAACTGATGAAGTGCTAGAAAGGGTTTTCATGTAATGTCATGTAGTCTAAAATGTAATAGTGCACGTAAGCCCCTGTCTGGCATCCATCCTTCTGAGGCTGTAAGTATTGTCTAATTCTCTACATATCCCATCTTTTGTGATTGGGTGCTGAATATAGAGTTCTGTTAGTTTCCAAGAAAATCTAAAGCCAGAGATCGATTTAAATATCCTTAGAAATTATTTATTAGTGAGGGCTTGGGGAAGTTTGTTTGGAGGCAGAAAGATCCTACCAATTATTTGTATGTGGATCAGAGCTGTAATACAGGGGAAGAGTTATTTGTTTACTGTAACATCGCCCATTATATTTATTGTCACTTCAGGATGTAAAAAATCAAAACCTTAATATCTCATCGTGTTGACCTGAGAGAGATCACTTTCTCACATGGTCCTTAAAAGTCTGGCAAACCCTTTTATTCTTAATTAAAATCTTTAGTACGTTGTAAATCTTAGCCGCCTACAAAGGACTCAGAGGATCAATCTTGTGTCATTCAGGAATGAAGCCATTTACCTAAATGAAAATTTGTGGAACTAGCCCTTATTTTAAAATTGCTAATTGTTCTTCTATATTTCATTATTACTTCATTCTTAATCTGACCTTCTGGATCCAAAATTCCTGTAATGGACCTCTTCCATACCCTGTGGCACCCTCAGCAGGGTGTTGATTGAAATAGAGCATTGTGGGGTACCTCTGACTTCTTGCTATCAAAAATTCAAAGTTAAAATGTTAAATAAGTAAAGCTTCTGCCGTATAATTCTCTCATATGAAAATACTCAAATATTAAATAAACAACAGTAAGAATAGAAGAAAGATAATATGAGCTGTAAAATGTTCTCAAGTAGATAAAATACCCCAAATCATACCTGCATTTAGCAAAAGACTAACAAGTTATTAATTACAAATTTGGACTGATCTTACTGTTCATATTTTTGTATGCTATGTGTAGCTAGTGTGTGAAACTAATTGTTGCTTAAATGCTTTACTACTAATATGTTACTAACATGTATGCCTGTGTAATATTTATAATACCGTGTTTGTGGGGTTTTTTTTACACCACGGTACTGTTTAATGCAGTTGTGCCTTGTAAAAAAAGATACACTTCTTGTGTTCCAGTAATCTGGTAGTAAAAGCATTTTGCATCAAAATGTATCGATGTAGTACAGATGGAAAGTGAGATTTACTCATGGTTTTGGATTTCTGCCAGGCACTGCGGGATGGAAACAAACTAGCACAGATGGAAGAGGCTCCACTTTTTCCTGGAGAATCAATCAAAGTTATTGGTAAGCATAATATTGAGTACTACACTGAATACTGTTAAATCACTAGTTAGTTTATTTAAAAACAGAATATTATTTCCTTTTGATTTTTGTTGTTTTAAGGCCGCTTTAGATTAGCTGATTTGATGTGGATTTCTTTTCTTTGTCTTTTAAATCCACATGTAGGAAGGAGAAACCAGTTCCAGAGGATGACTTACTCCATATAGACAAATAATTTTTTTTCAAGGTTTAGTTTGTTCCAGATAGGTGTATGAGTTGTGTTTCTGCTTGGGGATGCCAAGGATACCTCGTAGATTCAAAAGCTTCAAAACTGTGATAGCAAAGAAGATGGAGTTAAGGAAAATTTAGTTTGCAGTTCTTAATGAGATTTATTTCACTCAGGCCTGTGACAGCAAGCTCTGCATTAGCAGTACAGTCCTTGGCTAGAAAAGAATACCAGCTCTTGCCAATAAGAGTGAAAATGAAGACAGAGGTGTATAACTCCATTTCGTGGAGGTCGGTTGCGTACACATCCGTGGTTGCCCGTTTGGATGCTCCCTGTCTGGGGTGAGCGTGGGTGCTTTACACCCAGGGCAGGGGGCAGAGCTGCCTGCAGCCAGGAACACCGGAGGGTGCATCCTCACCTGCCTGCCCTCACGGCAGCCATGCCCGCTGAGCCCAGCCCCAGCTGCTCAGTAGTTGCTGAGCAGCAGTGGGCCTGAGGAATGTGATTGTTTCCGTTGTTGAGATAAAGACAGCTCCCTCCGCCCTGACAGGGTCTGAACAGCAGGCTTTCGAGCATCAGAATTTATGGAACTGTGAAAATCTTGCTGTTTTTAAATGGAAGTAGATTTTTGTGGAACAAACGTCTGTGATAATGAAACAAAGCTTTAATTGGTCTGTTTTCCAGCTAAAGATGTTATGTATATCTGTCCATTTATGGGAGCAGTCAGTGGTACGCTAACAGTGACGGACTTCAGAATGTATATCAAAAGCGTGGAAAGGGTAAGACCTGGCGATCTGTCTGCGTATTGTTTCAGGTAGGAATGTTGCTGCAGTGAATTTCAGAACCTGACAGATAGGCTGCAAGTGAAGTGTGATGTTCCACAGCAGTCTGTTCAACAGCAATTACAATTGACTGTAATGAAACATACAATAACATTAGTTTGTGTTCTTCCTAATGTAACAAAATTAATTTGTTTTATATACAAATTTCAGGATCCGCCTTTTGTTGTTGATGTTCCCCTTGGAGTCATAAGTAGAGTTGAAAAAATTGGAGTACAGAGCCACGGAGACAACTCCTGTGGTATAGAAATAGTTTGCAAGGTATGGCATGGTAGAGATTTATTCATATTAAAGTACTTTCATTTCATTTTTCTGTAAGAGGAATCTGCGTGCACATGTGCTGTTTTTCTGTCTATCAGTTCCCTGTATTTCAACCCTGCTTCATTTAGATAATACATTTCAATTCCTCTTATGATACTTGCAGTCTTAAACACTTCTGCCTTTTGTCTCAAGAGTGAATTCTGGCTATTTTTGTGATATCTAGCAACTCTAATGATGATGCTAGACATTTGATGTAAACGCTTACAGAACTCCGTTCTAATGTGGGTTAGATGATGTCAGTGACTCAGTGCTACGCACATGCCTTCCTTCAACTGAATTTCTTACAACTGCTTTTTTTTTTTTTAATTTATCATGGAGTAAAATAGCGTAACTTATTTTTGACAGGATATGAGAAATTTGCGGCTGGCCTATAAACAGGAAGAGCAGAACAGATTGGAGATTTTTGAAAACCTCGTAACACGCGCATTTCCTGTTTCTAACGGGCTGGTAAGTCTCGAGGTGCAGAGAGCGCCGTTGTTGGCTCTCCGCTTTTTGGAAGGGGTGGGTGGGGAAATAAAAGGGCTGTATAACAGACACCGAAATGTTGCTTTGTAAAATCTGTTACAGAGCAGACAAGCTACTCTGACCCCGTTTCCTTTTTGCATTAATTTGTAACATATTATGCTGTGTCCTGCCATTGGTGAAGTTACTTACTTTGTACATAACCCTTGAGATCCAGATTTGCCAAATGTTACTGATTACAAATATTTATGTATTGACTCTTATTTTCTGCAGTAGATAATTCAGTCTAGAAGTTCTGTCTAAACCAACAAATAGGTACAATGAGTCTTACTGTCAGCTGTAGAACGCTATTTCATTTGCTTGTATGGGTGAGGAACTGGTTGGGACACAAAAGACCAGTTTCCTCATCCCGGCTTTGCCATTGATGTGTTGTATGATCACAGGCAAGTAACTTGAACTCTCTCTGACTGTTTCATATCTTGATTTTGTTAATTACATAGCATGTACTTGAAAGAGGAAACTGTCTTTCATTTTCTTTCTAGCACAGTGTTGTCCAGTCTTGACTGAAGGTTTTATGTCTGCTGTTAAAGTTTTAGAAGCGTTACATTTGAAATGTTAGAAGGTTCACTGTTTTGGAGCTTATTGTGCATGCAACCCATCAGACAGTAATTTATGCCTTTGCTTTTTTGTCTCTAGCCTCTCTTTGCATTCAGCTATAAAGAAAAGTTTGCTGTTAATGGCTGGAAAGTGTATGATCCAATGGCAGAATATAAGAGGCAGGTAAGTTAATTTTGGTGTATTATTTTTTTCTCCATCTCTCCCAGAGCAATTTAAACAAGAAAAAGATATTAAAGAAATTTTCAGCTCTAGCTACATACAGAGACTGTCTAGATCTCATATTTAGATAATAAAATGCAAGTGACCTGACTTTGAGAGTGTTGAGTGCCTGCTAAAGTCGATGGACACAACAGGTGCTGAGTACTTGAGCAAATTGGTCTATCTTAACGTGCATTCTTAAACCCACATTTTCCAAGTGCTGTTTCTAGAAAATGTTGGCTTTATAAAAATTTGATTTTGAATAAGCAGCATTAAACAGAACAGTAACCATAGTTTGTTGTTGTAAATCTACAGTTTCCTAGTTGCAAAAGTATTTTTATTTCACTGTACGATCATTTTTTACCTGAGTGTGCAGCCTATTCAAATGATTATTTTGCATATCAGTTTTAAAGATAATAAGTAGCAAAGACTTTCAGTGTTTTGGTTTATGGTTCAATATGAAGACCTAAAGCTTATAGCTTATTGAAAATCAAAATGTGGGCACACTTTTTTTTAAAAAGTACATAGCGTATAAAAATTTTCATCGCCCCAAACTCAGATAAGCAAAGGCCTAACCTGAAAAATACAAAAATGTTTTGCTTTCATACAGGGCTTGCCCAATGAGAGTTGGAAAATATCCAAAATTAACAGCACCTATGAACTTTGTGATACGTATCCTGCTATTCTTGTTGTGCCAACCAGTGTAAAGGATGATGACCTCTCAAAAGTGGCAGCGTTTAGAGCAAAAGGCAGAGTTCCAGTAAGTGCAACTTTTACTAGGAGTTATAAGCTCTCTGCAAATTTGTAGCTTATAAGACATTATCAGAGCTCTTTTAGCCTTTTTTTTTTAAATAACAGTGGGCCAGCTTTTTCCCTGAAAGGAGGAGGCAAAGAAAGAAGAATTAGACTTGATCGGATTAGAACTGAAGAGAGCAGCTCAAATGTGAATCTAATTGTTTGATTATTTTGCTACGTAATGAATTTTTGGTTTGAGTTAATACTTCTAAGCCGCAATGGTGTCTGATTCTAATTCATATAGTATGTTCTGATTTGGTGTGGAATGTGTTGCAGTCATAGCGGTTTTCTTGAGAATAGACAAGTTTTGCAGGTAGCAGAAGAACCACTTCAAATATGTTAGATGGTGACAGTTTTCATGGTATAGATCTGCTCAGCAAGGTAGTGTGCAGGTCCGTAGGCTTCTACATGGAAGTTTTTCTTCCACCGTTGTTTCTTTTTTTTTTTTCCTTAGTTCGTAAGATGCAGTAGCAGGCTTAGTTTTTATTAGAAATAAAAGCGAAGATGTTTAGAATCACTTTGTATTTTGAGCTCGGATTTGAGATGAGCAGTCAATATGGCTTTGCATCAACTTGTCCTTAAATTTGCATTTGTTGATTTGCCAGGAAATAACACCATGTAGGCAGTGTGATTGTCTCATTGCACTCTGGCCTGCTGCTTTTACAGTGGTATAGTAAACGAAAATAATTTCCTTTTATTCCAGGTGTTATCCTGGATTCATCCTGAGAGCCAAGCAACAATAACACGATGCAGTCAGCCATCGGTAGGCCCAAATGATAAACGTTGCAAAGAAGATGAAAAATATTTGCAGACAATAATGGATGCCAATGCTCAGTCACATAAACTTATCATCTTTGATGCCAGACAGAATAGTGTTGCAGATACAAACAAGGTAGGGTGGCGTCATAACTAGCAGTAGTAGTTCTGTCTTTATTGCAAGGCTGAAGATTGAGTAAGAGATGAGGGTGAGGAGAACTTGACGTTGAAAAGAGATAAAAAAGGGTGTCTAAAGAGGGAATGGGAAGGAAGGTAAGGGTGCCTGTGGTGTTTTGGAAAGGCTGGCAGGAATTGAAGGCAGCATGAAGACATAGTTGAGAAATGATGCAGTAAAGCCCAAAGAAGACCAAAGGTTTCAGTAGTAAAAAGGGGAAGTTATATGGATGTATTATCAAATGTAGCCTATTAAAATTACAATTTCTTTCACCTGAAAAAAATACCCTAGTGCTTCCTAGAAAAACAAAAGCCAAAAAATGTTGTTAGTGCTAAAATAATCCTTTCTCTTAGAATATCCTGAAACCTGACCAAAATAACTCTCTCAACATTGTATAGAAGTCCTGTACATGCTCTTTTCTTTTTTTTTTACCTTTTGAATGACAGGCAAAAGGTGGAGGATATGAAAGTGAAAGTGCCTACCCAAATGCAGAGCTGGTCTTTCTGGAAATTCATAATATACATGTAATGAGAGAATCCCTGCGTAAACTTAAAGAAATAGTTTATCCTACTATCGATGAGACTCGGTGGTTATCAAATGTGGACTCCACACATTGGCTGGAATATATAAGGGTAAAATACTTGTGATGTGAAAAATCATTTTTTTAAACCATTATTTCAACTTGCATTTCTGAAAATGTTGCTAAAATAATGTCTAGATTCAAGCACGTTGCTTTGATCAGGATAATCTTGTAAAAAAGCTTCATTTTTAAATGGTCACTTAGAACATAGCGTTTTAAACATTCCGTAACTACTTTGTATTTCCAGTTTTATGTATTGGTAGGTAATGAGTTAATTCTTGATAGCACAGTATCGTATTTAGTGTTGGACAATGTTTTATTTTCTTGAGACGGAATATTTGTGAGCAGTCCAGGGTTATCCCTGCTTTTTGGAAGAATGCCCTGGGAACTTGAGATTATATTTGAGCAACTGCCAATAGGTCTTGACTAGTAAATTCTGCAGTCTTTCTCATCCTTTCCTCCTTCAATGCAATGCTAGTGCTCCTGTGCCAGGCACCTACGTTTTCATCAGCTGTTTATAGTCAGTGCTCTACTGGGTTATAATCTGCTCTATTATTTAACATAATATTAATATAAATCACTGCCATACTCAGTTTTACAGTCTGTTTCACTAACCTCTGAAATGCCTTTAGAAGAGATTATTTCATTACTGCTTTCACTCCCCTGTTTATGATGAATATGGGTGGAATGGAATTTGCTTTAGTAGCAACTGGCTCAAATGTCCCTCATGCAAAACATGTTTAAGATTGTTCATTAGTTTTACTCTTCTATTAACTAGTGCTTGCTAACTGCTGCAGGAGAACCAGTAGAGGGAGCAAACACTTAAATTAAGAATTAAACCGATTTAATGATCTTTTGGGAACAGTGTAATTTTCTTGTTCTCTTGAAGTTGGACTATTTCAAACAGCTTTGGGGATTCAGTGATCTGGAAACCTTTTCTCATCAGCCTGGCCTTAAATACAATACTCTGTTTTTAAAAGTGGAGTTGTCTGGGCCCGTGGTCACCTTTCGTTGACAGTGACTTCAGTGGGGTTCCTGGGCTTAGGTGATGTCAGAAGTGGACCTTCGTACAGCTGTTGCACGGGTGACAATAGCATAGCAGTTTGAAATTTAATTTAAATTATTTTAAAGACACACATGTAACATTTTTCATAAATCTGTCCCTAACGTTATGTTATTGACAGCACAAACTGCAGCTGGATTTGTTAAAAGCTGCTGTCACTGTGTTAACAGTGTTGATAGTATCTCCCTGTGCTTTTATCCAAGAACTGCTTGCCTGCCTTGCCTATTTGATTTGGCTTGTAATAGCAATTAACAAATCCACAGCTTTACTCTAACGCATCTGCTGTTTTCCGGGCTCAAACCAGTGTGATTGTGTCACAGTTTAACGCGGTGCGTTGCTGGGAATTCACCTCCCTGGCAGTGCGCACCCACAGCGCGTTGGAGATGGTCCAGGAGTGTCTGGGGAGGCACCAGCGACGTTCTCTGTGTGTGTAGACAGGAGTAACAAGGGGAGTGGAGCCACTTGGTGCTTTTTGCACACCGAGGAGGTTTCCTCATGCCCTCCGGAGTGTTTTCTGTCTTTCAGGGTAGAATTTGTGCTATCTATTATTTTTAAAGCAATTTTTGTTTTTTAAACCAGTTCTCATTTTCTAAAACAATTTTCATTTTCTAACTGAATCCAAAGCCAGTTATTCATTAGGAGCTCTAACTGAAATACTGTGGTGGTTGCTAAGTTATTGCATGCCTGTACGTTGTATAGATTAGTTTTCTGCTTTTATTGAAGACCAAATTGTTCTAATATTTGCACTTTTTTTAGTGCAGTAGAGCTTTGTAACTGGAGTAATTGGCAATAAACTAGTTCAGAGCACAAGCTCTGTTCTGCGATAGAAGCTTTCTTATTATTTCCTGATATTTCCATCCTGGCATCCTTCAGTTTTACCATAAAAGATACGATCAATGAAAGATACAATCAATGAAAATTATCTCTAAAGCATGGTTCTTGAGATGGCTTTGAAGACTGGTCTTGTGCACAGCTTCTCCAGTGAATGCTGGCTTTCCTGCTTCCCAGAAGATGTTTTTACATGCCTGGGAAGGGAAAAATGCAAATATTTTGCAAGATTTCATTTTCTAGTGTTGGAATGCAGAAATAGGACTTTCTCCTGTGGTCCTGTTCTAGTGGTTGTTTTCTTTTAACGTATTTTTCAGTGCCATGATAGGTCGTGTTAGAGAGACAAATCTTCACAGGAGAGAGATTATTCAAATTCTTAAAAGACTACAGAGTGGCATAAGAGAACCAGAGAGGGTTTTTTTTTGTGGGGGAGAAGAATAACAAGTCCACACAGATGATCTCAGCCCTCTGAAATCTTTGCCCTTCGCTCTCCAGCATGCTTCTCAATCCACACTGTTAATGGTCTGCTCGTGGGTTGAATACAATGTATGCTTCATGCACCAACAAATCAGCACAGGCTCCCAGCTAGAGGTTTCTGATTTTGTTTGGATGGTGTTTTGATTTAGATTAGCTGGATAGTTTGGCCCTTTCTCTAAACTTAGTAGTTGAGAACTGAAAGCTGAGGAGGAGTGATTGAATACTGAGAAAAAGAACTTTGAGAACATTGAACCTTCAGCCTTTGGAATAGGTTACAGTATTTATGTCTTTTCATCGTGATACAGAATTTCAGATTCAATTTAGAGAACAGGATCTTTTGTTATGCCACTAATAATGGGGAGCTGGTAAGAACTCTCCAGGACAACAGAGTGCATACAGTTTTTGTACCTCTAGGAGTATACATACCACCATTTGGAAATCTCTATTTTAAAGCAATGTCTTCCTGATCATTATGTGAGATCTGAAATTTTAAAATGTATTAACCTTAAGAGTATAAAATTATAACTATTTTTTTTTGGTAGAGTTTTGGTTAGTGTTTACTACACTTGTTTATTTATTTTTGTTTATTTCAGATGCTGCTGGCAGGAGCAGTAAGAATTGCAGATAAAATTGAGTCGGGTAAAACGTCTGTGGTGGTACATTGCAGCGATGGTTGGGATCGAACTGCACAGCTTACTGCACTAGCTATGCTCATGCTGGACAGCTATTACAGAACTATCAAGGGGTTTGAAGTTCTTATAGAGAAGGAATGGATAAGTTTTGGACACCGATTTGCAATGGTAAGCTGAAAGATTTAGTGTGCAGATTGTCACCTTCAAGGATTTTCTTTGAAATAGCATGTCTTCTCACAGTACTCTGCTGCATTTTAGTTATCTCTGGTGGCCTTCTTTTAATGATGTGAGTGTGTCAGAGAATTGATCTGTTCATTTTTAACAAGAAGTCTATGTGTGAGGTATAACATAAAGTAAATAAGAATTAAGTGGTTTGAACATAATGGTTAAAAAAACAAATCACATGGCTTTTCATGAGGAAGAGGGATTGTAACATATTGCCTCATCTTTAACAATCTTATGAATGGAGAAACAAGGAAAACAATTAACATGTCTAGAGGGTAAAATCACTGGAACCATTACTCTGATTTAAGGTTGAAGTGTTTATTTAACACATAGGCTAGTGGGGAATTAGGACATACATTATTATGACATTTTGTGGGCTCTGACTCTCAGATGGTTTAGGAGAAATGACATGTAATTATGGCAGGTGAATATGGAATAATCATTGCTTCAGTACAGTCTTAGTAAATACCTTCCAGTTTGACTCACTGGTAGAAACAAATGGCCGTGCAGTGAAAGATGGAGGAATGACTGGCACAGCTTTGTTGACCGAGTGTCTTTGCAGCTCTGCTCAACAGCAAAGGCATGTCCATAAGTGAATACTGGCATGCATTTTTACTAGTTGAAAAATACAAGTTAGCATGATGGAAGATTTGCTTGTCTTGTTCACCACTGGAACATATTTAAGAGTTACTCGGCTTTAAAGTATGGAGATGGTACGGTAAATACACCAGACTGAAATGGAAAGTGTATTTTGACTTTCAGCGCGTAGGACATGGAGATGATGATCATGCTGATGCAGACAGATCTCCCATTTTCCTTCAGTTCATCGACTGTGTATGGCAAATGACAAAGCAGGTAAGGTGCTTAAGAGTATATTCCTACGAGGACTCAGTCTCTGTCTTGGAAACGTAATTCATATAGGAGGACACATTCCTTTGCAGAACAGTAGCATGTTTTCCTGAAGTTGGTCGTGCTATGGCTGCACTGTGCATGCTTAGGGAAACTTTTTTGCTCAAAGTGAGGTACAAGGAGCTAGAGTAGAAGTATTGACTTGAAACCAAAATACCAGGAATCCTTTTTGTTTAAAATAGGCTTTCAAAGGATTCTCTGATTGTATAAACGAGAGTTATTGATGAGATAAATGATTTTTGTGGCAAATTCCCTGGTGGTGTAAATGTTTGTATGGATTTATATTGTCCTTAAGAAACAGCAAAAATCCAGGCTAATTGTGAACTGAGGGCGGGAGAGGATTCTTCTATGTATTTCTCAAATATGAAATGTAAGTTAATGTTGGCATTGCGATGCATACAGGACAGCATTTCTGACATACAAGCCTATTCTCAGATAAGTTTTCTTACTTTCAACACTGCTTTTACCTCTGGGTCAGGAGAGATCTTTGAAATTAGTGATATTTAAGATATCAAAATATTAAAATTCTCAATTTTTTTTCTGAATGTGTTAAATTATAGAACAACTTTAGCCTTAATTTTCCTTATTTGTTCCTCCATGAGCATAAACTTAAGGATTTTCTGAGCTTTTATATTGCTGTCGTCAACATGAAGGCTTTATTTCCAAGTAAATTAGAAGTGGTTTACTCTTTTTTTCCTATTTTTTTTCCTCTCTCTTTTTTTTTTTTTTCCCCCTTCGAAGCATAACATAGGTCTGTGCTCTTATGGTAAAAGCTATCATACTGAAGTCTGTATAGTATGGGATCTGTTTTGAAGAGAGGAGGGTAACAGTCTGGTTCCATATGATGCCAGCACTCCCAGATCTCTTACCTTAGTCTTCTTGTCCTGAATATGGTTCTTAAAAACTTAAATCATAGTTTCCAAAACTTGTGTTGAAAACAGTCGTCTTTGGTGCTTTATGAAAATTCCCTGCTGTAATACTTGGCCCTTGTCCAGAGTCCCTTTCTCTTTCTGTGTATCTATAGTTCAGCACTAATGTGCTGTTTAGTATGGCTGGAGAAAATAAATGAAAAATTCTGCCCCGCTCTCAGAGGAAACTTAATAACGATAGCAAAGAGAAGCAGTTCTAAACACCTGGTAGGAACAAAAGTCCTCTAGGGAGATCCTTAATTGAGAGCAGCCTCTTCTATTTTTGTGATCTCCCTTGCTGCCTCCTATTTCTTGCTATAAGCGGTTTGGTTCCCTCTAGTTAAAAAAAAAAAAAAAAAAAAGGGACTTTAATCTGTGAAACATTTTACCAGTACCACATCTGTTCAAAACCTGGATCCAGAAACTGTTCTGAAATTCATGAACAGCAGTGGCATTGAAAAATCATTAATGTTACAGCAGGAAATAAATTGAAAACTTTATTCTTGGAGAGTTCTTGCCCCCTTTGTTTTATTTTTTAGTTAACTTCAACACCTAGAGAATAGATGTGAAGATTGTGATTACCTTGACATGGACCTATGAAAACCAGAATTCTGTTTTATCCCTTTGTAGATCACTTGCTTATAAAAAAGTGCTAGTTTCGTGCTTTAGAATCCATGGTAAATATATGTGAAGTTTTCCGAAGCTCAGATAAGTGTTAATGACTGTGGGAGGGTGTAAGGGCTCAGGTTTGGGCATGGGCTCAAAGCAAGCAAATTTTCTCTTTTGGATTCCGAGAATTACATTCTTAAAACAGTCAACTTCATACAGTGAGAGAATCTCTAACTTCCCACTAAGACACAAATTTCCGGGTGGCTTTAGACAGTGAAACTTAATCCTTGGCAGCCTTATATTTTCCCTTTTTTTTTTTATGATCTTCATGACATACAAATACACTAATGGAGAACTTGAGAGAAGCACATTGATATCAGATTTTAATAAAAAGCACATGGTGAATTGATTTCCCTTCTCTGTTAGTAAATTCTGGTGATTTTGGATAGCAGATGTCAAACTGGAAAGGCCGCATGTGAGCTGATGAAATACTGATGCCCTGTGAAAAATGAAACAAAACTAAAATTTGCATGTAGCGTTGCAGCTCAAGTAGTACCTTTCTGTCTGTCATGCACAGTACCCAGATAGGAGGAAGGTATGGTTAGAGTTGGTAGTAAGCTACATCCTGTTTGTTACTGGATGTCATCTGTTGCCAGAGATGCATTTTTCACTGGTTTCAGCAGTGTACTCTGGTGTATCTAGTGTTTGGTTAACCTGATTCAGTCCAATTCCACAGTCATAAGAACTATTCTGCAAAGTGATTCAACTTTAAATGTTCTGTAGTACAGAACGAGTTCATTGATTAAAAACCATGTTTATTTTGCATGTCTCTGAATCAGTTGCCACTTGGCATCATCAGACTTTTAAACAAGAAAATTCTTCTCTTAAATACCTCCTTTACAAAAACCCCCAACAACTCCAGCAGCATCAAGTGGCAGAATTTAATGACCCGTGTGTTCTTTCACAATTAGTGGATTTGACAAGAAGTAAATTTTCATTTGGGGAATTTTTCCACCTGAATCTTCAAACAGACACTAATGGGCTTGGAACTACAGAGGAAAGCATTTTTAGGTCAGTGATTTTTCAGCAACAGTAATAGAAGCTTTACAGTCCTGATACATCAGCTCCAACAGTACAACTCTTGTATCCAAAGACAGAGTTTCAATAAAGTGCTATCACTTATTAATAAATCAGTTGGAGTGCAGCCACTGATGTATGGAATTTTGAATATGCTTCACTGGATTGGAATAGCGGCCGTGTCGGCATCCGTCTGATTAGTACGGGCCCGTCACAACGCAGAGCCCTGATGTGACAAGGCTCATTAAGTGCTTTCAGTTAAAGAGAGTCCCTTTAGAGAGGCTTTGTCTTCGAAGTTATTTCCAAATATCCCTTCGATCCTTTGCAAATTATTTTTGCTTTCTGTGTCTGATTGCTGCTTTGGGCTGGACACAGGAGATTGAGGGCTGAGCCCCACTGAATTTTCTCCTGACTTGGTCCAGCACACCTGCTTACCATGTTCTGTTCATACTTTTTAAAAATTATAGCCATGTTGTTAACATCATTGTATTGTGATTGAGTTCTGGCATGATTTTCTAGAGAGAAGGAAGAGCCGTAAGTGGTAATATTTAAACATGACTGAAAAAGAGAATTTGATAATCTGAAGTTGCTCTATGTTTTATGGAAACAAACAACTAGGTAACTGAAAACAAACCAGTGATTTGAGAGAGAAGCCCCAGCGTGAGCACGCCGTGCTGTTGAGCAGTGCATAATCCAGAGCAGAGTCAGAAGGAAGGCTCCCATTCATTTTGTGAGCCATGATATTGATCATTTCCTTACTCAGAATTTTCCATTGAAAGTTGGTGTATCTTAAATTGAGAAGTCTTGGAAAGAGAATGTTTTTGCAATGTTTAACTTAAATGAATCTTCTTTTAAAAGAACATTGCTTAACACTTAGATCTTTCCGAGTTTAATATGAGCACACCCATTGTGTGTTTTTCAACTTTTTACTTTCAACATGAATAAACATTTGCCCTTCATAAATCACAGATGACACTGAAGGGGAATTTCAGGATCAGGCTAGTTCATCCGCAGTCCCAGTTGCTGCATTATTCCTCCTAGCTACACTTGTCGTCTTTTTTTTCTTATTTAAAGTAGCTGTTGAGTCACTCATGCCAAGGTGTTCAGTATTCTTCAGTGGCACATAACAGAAACCAGTCCGCTGCTTTCTTCAGATCTTGAATACTGACTTGAGATTTCTCCATATAACAGGAAATTCTTCCTTAGGAATCTGTAACGTTGCGTTTTATACTTCTGTAAAGATTTACTCCTTCAGTGGGAATGAACAAGATTTGTTTCATTTGTCTTGAAAATTAGTCTAACGTTCTCTTTCATGGTAATGAGAGAAATGCTACTTCTTAAATATTACTTTAGTCTTCTAAATTTTCTTTTCTCTAAATGCTTATCATTCTGTATCTGTGTTTGAGACCCTTGTCATACTGAACGCAAAGTTATTTTGACACATCGAGCAGTTGCCATATGTAGTCCTATCGTAAAATTTGATTGAAGAGGACCTTTTCCATCTGAATAGGTAGCAGCCCATGCAGTTTGCATTAATGGCTTCCTTTAGGATTTTTAGAACACTACAGGTTAAGATATTTCTTAAACATTTCGAATGTTTTCAAATTTCTGACTCTTTTTCCTAGAATGTGTCAGGTAACCTCTGTGTGTGAATAAAATATGTGGTGGTGCTCAGTGGTATGACAGTTCTTTCATTTCAGATGTACAGGGTTTACTTTTCAATGTAAAAGAAGAGGGATTAAAGGCTTATTTTACATAGTTGGTGTAAACTCGGGGTGAAATAGTGAAAAGAAACGTTTTAGATATGTGTTAAGCACGTGGTACATGCAGTAGTCTTTATTATCCAATTCATTGCATCTTGGAATAGGAAATAAAATTCTTAAATGTCGTCATCATCATCTTCCCTCCCCACCCCAAGATGATTTTTTGTCCTGTAACAAGAGAAATAAAGCATATGTTGAAGGCAGTTTGGGGTGGATTAGAACAGAATACTGTGAGAGGTCCTTAAAACGGGTTGCTTTGTGTCACCAGTTTCACAGTAGCTGCTGCTTCTATGTTTGTATTCTCGTGTAGTTGCATAACGAATGTAAGGCTCGTCTCAGACGAGTGCTTACAAAGAAGTATGTGGGTGAAATGTATTGTTACTGAAATTGCTGAATTTTCCTGAAAATAATCACTAAATAAGAAAAACAGTCTTATCTGGATCTTTTGGTTATTTCTTATGTCTGGGTTTCTTCCTTTCTACACTGCTTATAATCAAGTTTCAAGTAATTTTACCAATTTTTTATTTCAGTTTCCTGCGGCCTTTGAATTCAACGAGTTATTTTTGATCACCATTCTGGATCACCTTTACAGTTGTCTCTTTGGGACTTTCTTATGCAACTGTGAAAAAGAAAGATTAAAAGAGGTAAATAATTAGTGTAATACGCTTTCTGAATTTGTCGATTTTGTATGAAGATGCTTAGAATATAAGTGATTTGAGAGAGAAGCCCCAGCGTGAGCACGCCATCTGAGCTGTGTTTTTGGATACATCCGTCACATAGCCTTAAAAATGTGGACATGAAATTTCATGGTATGAGAAATATATACTGGATGTCCTGCTATTAAATGAGATGGCACTTATTTTCTTTAGTTATTATCTGTTCAGGGGTTTGAGGGTTTTAGAAAGTTCTCTTTAAGATGTTTCTGGCCAACATATACAATTTTAAATAATCATTAGCAAATTATATTAGCATTTCTTTCACTGTTTCTAAAGGAACTCCTATTGGATGACTTTACAGGTCGCTTTAGGACATAATTAGATGGAACTTGTTTGATGAATAAGGAAATTTAGAATATCTAAATTAAGGAAGTTAGGACTCAATTAAATACTTTGAGTTTGGAAAAGAAAAAGGAAAAGTTTTTTAGTATTTCAAGTACACTTTTGCTTACTTTTGGCTTTGTTGTTTTTAATACTCCGTATTTTTTAAAGCAAGTAGCAATTCCTTGTCATATTTAGCTTTGCTATTTTTTTTTTGGTTTCTCCCTACTGCTTCTGTAGG